CGGCCTTTTATCCTATCCCGCCTATCCCCAAAGCATTCTAACCCACCCCCTCATCCCGGAAGCAATCCAAGGCACCATTTCCCTCTTCAAACCGTTTCGCCATTCTTTCTGACTCCTCTCTTCCTAGAGACCCTGTGTCCTCCTCCTCCCTTCCCTCCTCCTCTGCTCCTGCTGTGATCGATGATGACCCCCTTGATCAGGATGACCTCCTGGATGAGGATGATTTGATTGAGGTTGAGTCGGATGATGGCGACACCGCCCGTTTCGTTGCCCGTGATCTTCCTATCCCCCAGGTTGATTCGTTGTCCCCTCAGGAGCCCGAGCAGATGGACTCCACCTCCTCCCCCATTTCCCAATGTTGAGTGTTGCCTCTTGGAATACCCGTGGTCTCTGCAACCTCTCCCATCAAAGGGCTGTGAGAGATCTCATTCGGGAATCCAATCTTCATGTCTGTGCTGCTCTTGAGTCGCGTGCTTCTGTGTCTTCTCTTCCTTCTATCTGTGAGCGTGTTTTTGGGTCTTGGTCCTGGGCTTCTAATGGTTCTCTTTGCCTTAGAGGAACCCGTATCATTGTTGCTTGGAACCCTGTCCATGTAGACATGATGCTTTTAAATGCCACCGATCAGGTGATGCATTTTCAGGTTAAGATTCGTGACTCCTCTAAGATTCTTTTCCTGTCCATGGTGTATGCGGAAAATTACCATATCGCCCGTCGCCAGTTATGGGCTTCCCTTAAAGGCCATAAGCATGTCGTTAAGGACACCCCATGGTTTATCATGGGAGATTTCAATGTTGCCCTTGATCCTAAGGACAACTCGTCTGGCACTTCGGGTCCTAATCGTGGTATGGATGATTTTCGTCAATGTGTCCGACACCTTGAGGTGGAGGATGTCAACTACAAGGGTCTGTTTTTTACCTGGACTAAAAACCCCAACGGTACGGGAGGTCTTCTTAAAAAGATTAACCGTATCTTGGGCAATTCTCATTCTCTTGCCCGTTTCCCTTCTGCTTCTGTTGTCTTTCTTCCTTATCGGAATTTGGATCACAGCCCGGCGGTTCTTACTCTTCCGTCTGGCTCTCCTCGTAAACCCAAACCCTTCAAGTTCCCCAATCTTCTTACGTACAAAGAGCCTTTTCTGAATGTTGTGTCCTCTCATTGGCACCCTGATCTTGTTGGTCGTGAGATGTATAAGATTTCTCAAAATCTGAAAAATCTCAAAGGGCCCCTCCGTAAGATGCTTAGTGATCAGGGTAATCTTCATTCTAAAGTTGCTAAGTTACGACTTGAGCTTGACAGGGTCCAGATTGCGCTGGATAGGGATCCTGAAAATGGGGCCCTCCGAGAGGAACATTGTGGGTATTTATCTACCTACAATAGTGCCTGCCTTGATGAGGAACGGTTCCTGATGCAAAAAGCCAAGATCAATTGGCTCCATGAAGGAGACCGAAATTCTTCTTTCTTTCATAAGTCGGT